TTAGAATTGAGACAGGAAACCACATCATTTATATATTTGTGGCTATGAAGTAACTGGCTGTGAACCAATGCAAGTGTGAATTTTATGATGTTCAAAGCCTCTTGTCACTGTTGTGGGAAGTTTCTGAAGACTTATACTTTCTCCACATTAAATAAGTAGCCCTTTACTCTGTGGTTTCCTTGTGTCATTCTCCAGTCAAAATGTAGACAGTACTCCAGGGACATGACTCATGATATTAGAACTAGGTAAACACTATTAGTGATCATTTGTTTATCTACTGGGTAATCTCATCATTTTACATACTTGTATGGATAGTAAAATATGGATGCCATGGAGGTTTAACCAACAGTCCAAGAGTTAGATTGTAGTTTGACTGTATTGTTATTTTCTCTATGGCAATGACATGTGCTAGAAAAGAGACTTTTAGAGGAGTATGAGGATGACAGGCTTGGTGTGGACTGGGACTGATTCAGTTCTATTAATCTTTTTTTTGTATCTTATTTTGTGAGCAGTAATAACACTTGGGATGTTCTGAGAATGTAACTTCATGAAGGAAGTGAAATTAGAAGTAGCCAGCTGAAAGCTCTCAGAAACTGTCAATTTAACCATGAAACAGATGTGTTGCAAGTGAAGCGTTATTTCCATAGAATTATACAGAAGCGTAGCTTCTTTATTGATTCTCCTTAGGTGTGGAACAGGTAAAACACACTCAAAGTCCAAATTCCACCAGCTTTCCTGACATGGGACATGAATAACAATGATTTATTTTCTCTATGTAAAGAACAAATACACTCCCTATAATCACTGTATAGGTGAGTGTTCTGTGCCATGGTTATATGAGATGCAGCAAAGAAGGTGAAAGTCAGTATGCGGTTGAAGGGAGTTAAAAAACAGACAATAGAAGGGGAAAATAATAAATGCCATTGTGTGTTTGCAAAAGAGCCATAAGCCACCTAAAATTATAATTTTCGTGGTCTGGTTGGAATGATGGCTCAATAGTTAAGAACACTCCTTGTTCTTGCAGAGTAATGAGGCTTAATTCCAAGTATGCACATGGTGGTATGAAACCATCCCCATTCAGGGTGTATGTCACCTTCATTTGACCTCTTTGGTATCCAGACATACTAGTGTTGCACATGCAGCAAAATGGTCATATACACAAAAAACCCTAATATTTAAAACCTTAATTATAATTTTCATCAATATTCAGATTAGTTTCCAAATAAATAACATTGCCATATCAAGTATATTTTTCAAAGCAGTTGATGCAGGTGTGAAATAAATTAGTATTTTAATGTATTCTGTATGTTTGTGTGTGTGATTTTATTGCTTAAACAAAACATACACATATGGTGTCAGTAAATAAATTACATCTACATTAATGCACTGAATTAGGGCAAAGTGCACAGATTTTATCTCTATTGCAGACTCTTTGATATGTCCCTCAATGTAAAATCTATGACCATATACAGCAGAGTCACTCCTGTCATTGATTTACAGGTCAATCAGTTTCTAGACATATCAACCTATCTTTTGTTTCTGATACCTCCCCTGCATCCATCATCATTTTTTTTGGCCATAAATTGTGTGTCTTTCTAATCCAGTCTGATCTCTGTCTCCTACATAATGGTTGTCTGCTCATGTAAAACTCCTCCCATTCCACCTCTCAGTAAGTCCATCATAACCTTCTGGTGTTGATACACTCTAGACCTACCCCACTTTGTCTATAACTTCCCATGTTTACCTTCTACATTCACTTTATTACATTTTTCTCTCACCATGCAGCTGTATCTTTCTGCCATAAACCTATAGGGACAGGCCCTCTCAATCTCTGGAAGATGTATGTTGCCCATAACATATGCATGTTTAAGCTGTTTTACATTCAAGGATATGAGAGACAATCTGAGAGAAAACTCATATTCCTTAAAGACAATAATTTCTGATAATGAGGAGTAGAATTCAAGTCCAATAATCTAAAGCCTCACAGGAACTTTGGGCACAGATATAATCCCAGTAAAATACATAAAACTCATGACCTTGTCTGGTCTTGATAGAAGTAGTTCTTGTGTGGCTGAGCTGAGATAAATAAAATTAAATTGTTTTCCTGAAAAAAATATGTTATTCACATGAGATCCCATCCTTCATGCCTTCAAGTAGTATTCTATTCCTCTTGTGGGAACCATTGTGAGCACGAAGCTGCACAGGGATTTGTGGAGCTAAGGCCCATTAGACTCATTTACACAATACTTACATGCCCAAGGCTCAGGGAACATTTTTTAAATTGAAATGTAAATATTGTAAGAGCAATAGGATTAGCGAGTTTGCTGTGAGATTTTTGCCTCCTAGTAACATTAGGAGATATACATGTAAAGTCTCAGCAACATTACTAACCAAATATGAGCTGAACAGTGAGGACTCAAAAAGCATGCTAAACTTCAATTCTCCACAAAGGATTATAGACAACTGAGTAAACCGGGGAGCAGGAGAAGTGCTCCTTCCCAAGAGAGAACACACCAGTTTGGTTGCCTGTGGCCCAAAGATCAGCCCTGAAAACATTCATACAAGTTTTGTTATATAGACTTAACAGTTTATATTTAGGAATATTCAGGTATACACAAGTATATGGGCATATGATTATGAAGATATGAAAAAATAGGCTATGAATTTGAAGGAGAGTGAAGAGTGATACTGGGAGGATTTGAAGGGAGGAAAGGAAGGGAGAAATGCCTTAGTCAAAATACAATCTCACAAATAAATAGTAAAAAAGAAGTAGCTGCCTTCTCTCAATGAAACCTAGAGCTACCTATGAAGGGACCCTGTAAGGATTTATGTACTTTCTAGAAGTGTACCTTATCTAACAGTCCCTGACTTGGAGGGAAACATAACAAGGAAGTTCTACATTGAACATGACAGAAATAAAAATAAAGCACAACTCTTAAACTGGTTCTGTTCCTTTTGTCCAAAAAGGAGCATATTCACTACAAATAAACCTGTACTGCTTTTCTGATCTGAAACATAAGATGACTATAGGCTGTAATAAGTCACCAGCTTGGCCAGACCTAGGGCTCTGCTCAAACATTGTTGATTTGCATGTGCCCAGAGCGTGGCTGCTGTTCTTCTTCATAGGCAGGTCAGTCCTGTGCCGGAGTCAGCCTCACACAGTCACAGCACAGACATGAGGGTCCTCACACAGCTCCTGGTGTTGCAGCTGCTCTGCCTTATAGGTAAGGGATTTTAATTGCTATGAAGAAATTTCCAAATTCACTGGAAATTTATTCAGCTGAGTCTAGTCAGTACTTCACTGTCTCTGTGAAAGCCTTTTTCTAGTAGAATTAACTGTATACAAATTTATTCTCAATTTTCCAATCTCAGGTGCCAGATGTGACATCCAGATGACCCAGTCTCCAGCCACCCTGTCTGCTTCTCTTGGGGAAAGTGTCACCATGACATGCCAAGCAAGTCAGAACATTTACAGTAATTTAGCATGGTATCAGCAGAAACCAGGGGAACGTCCTCAGGTTCTGACAAGCAGCTTGGCAGATGGGGTCCCTTCTAGATTCAGTGGCAGTGGATCTGGCACACAGTTTTCTCTCAAGATCAGCAGCCTGCAGTCTGAAGATGTGGCAACTTATTACTGTGAACAGCATAGTAATCTACCTCGCACAGTGATACAAGTCATTACATAAACCCCCAAGGAAACAGAAGTATGTGGCCTGGTTGCCCACATGTTCCTCCTGGTGAGTCACCCACTGAAACTGTTTCTTAGATGTTACGGTAATTTTAATATAACTCATTGTGATTCTTTTTTTTTTTTTGTAGAAGAGGCCAACCACTTCTTTCTGTAGTCTAGCTATCTTTCTTCAGCTTCATCTCCAGCACTATTGAGTACCAATATCTTTTCTGCATTAAAAGAGGACACAGTCAATCCCTATGAGGAGTCTGTATCATAGAGAAGGAGTGGAAGCTTCTGTGGATATCCCAGGAAATGTTCATTATGTACAGAAAATTAACTTATTAATGCCAGTATTCAAAAGAAAGGTAATCATTATTCAGAGATGCTGACAGCAGAAAGGATTCCTGGATTTCTTACAACAGCTAGAGCACAAGGAAAGGGAAGGCTGCTTAGCCATGACACTTTAGTGTCTTCTGAAATTCCAGCAGTATGTGTTGATGCATTCTACTATCTGCCACACTTCAGTTAGAATTCTAATATTTCCTAAGTCCACTGGTCTGCTTACAAGGATCAAACAATATTGAACCACACTCTCACTATATGAAGTGGAATATAGACTTGTCTACATGAAAATATAGAAAGTAAAATAATGTCTTAAATATGCTTCCAAAAATGATATTGATGAAAACTTGATGTTCCAGAGCATACTTTTAGGAACAAAACAAAACAACAAAAGTGACCTGTGCTCTATTCTCTCTCTCTCTCTCTCTCTCCCTCTCTCTCTCTCTCTCTCTCTCTCTCTCTCTCTCTCTCTCTCTCTCTCTCTCAATCTCTCTCTCTCTCACACACACACACTCTCCCCTA